ATTTATAAAATAAAATATATATATAAATAAATATATATAAATAAATAAATAAAGGATAATATTTTGAGCCATTGGGTCTGATAACCCAGGAAATGAGTGTGCATAGATAGATCTGATGACTGAGACACTGAGTAATCTCTTATATTCTCTGCGTTGCCTCCTTTGGCTTCACTAGTCATTCAAGATTGGCTTAGAAATCATATGTTAGTGTGCCATTACCTGTGTTCTTTTACACTACTATGCAGTCACTGGGCACTTACTGAATAGTGTTGTACCTATCGATTGACTGGTCATCTCTTCCATTATACTGTAAGTTTCTTAAGGAAAAGGCTTAAAAGTGTTCTTTTGAGGGAAGTGGAAGAATAAATTAAAATCCTTCGCATTTAACATAAAATCTAAGTAATATTCAGCCTTGTCTACTTCACTCACCTCTTTTCATACTACCCTTCCCTTTATTTACTACACCCCAGTCCCCTTTGCTAATTCCTTCAGCGTATACCATATCCTCAACTGTCTCAAGCCTCATGGGTTCTTTGATCTGCTAATGCATTATAACTTATTAAGTCTTGGTTTAAATACTAAATCCTAAGAGAAGTACTTCCTGAACCTTTATCTTAATCCACCCTCGTTTTGTCTCTCCTAATAACCCAAATTTGTCACTTGATAGCATTTATCACAGTTTGTAGATTTATAAGTATTTATGTGATAATTTACTATAGAATTGTCTTAATACATTTATGAGAACAAAGGACAATGTCTGTTTTGTTCATTAATATACCCACCTCTCACCACTATCCCAGAGACTTGAGCCCTTTATAAAATGTTTAGAATACATGTAAAAAGCTTCATATATTTGAATTAGTACCAATGAATGTGGATAATATAATCAACATGTTTGTGATTTTATTCATTACGTAAAACTGTAACACCATTTGATAAATATATTTTTATCTGTGTTCTCTTATAATTGGGAAAGTATAAAATTATGGAATAGGAATTAGTCTCCTGCTTGTCCAGCAACACCTGGTTTTTATAAGTATGTAAACATTCTCCCTATTGGACACAAAAATGTACTTTCCAGAACTGGATCACCCATAGGGAATAAGTTTACATACTTATAAAATGATGTGGAACAACATTTCAAATATATACGTACTTTTGAGAAGACATAGCAGTATGAGCAACTATTTTTCAAGCCTGTTTTATTGTAAACAGTTTAAGAAACTTTAGTTAATATTATAAATTAGTCACATGGAAAATGCATGCAACTAGAAAACAATTTTTTTGTAAAAGCTATCTCACAACTCTTTGCTGAGATGACATATTCAATATAAATACTTCATAAAAATTCTTCGAAAATACTCAAACCAACAGTGGTTTGACATATATTATTTATACTAGCCGAATTATAATACTTTTTATTATTTAAAAATATATGCATATAATTATAGAATTAAATACAGTTGTTTCCAAATTTACTTAAAGAAGCTATAGCTATAAAACCCTAGAAAATATGATGCATCCCTCCTTCATAAGTATAGTCTCCTTACAAACTTAAATATTATTAAACTATCATTTCAGTTAGTTATTTGAGCTAAGATAGCGTGAAACTATCAATTCAATCAATTTTAATATGCTTTCTCTCCCCCTCTACAGTTGCTGAATTCTTTTCTTTGTATCAAAGAATTATTGTAATTAGAATTAATTAATCATATAATTAGAAGTAATAGACATTTGGAAGCAGAAAGAACAGAATAGACCCTCATTCCTCTAAGATTTTCTCTCAAGGACTTCTCCATGGAGAAGTGACTATATGAAATTATCTGACCCATTATTTCATACTGCTATTTATAATAGTAACTAGTAAATTTTGAGAAGTTATAAAAAACTTCTTAGAATATAGGGGAAAAAAGCCAATTTTTTCCATAGCTATAAACTCTTGAAATACTAGTATAAGAATTAGATTAAAATACTGCATTTTGCTATTTTTACAAAATGGCTTTTGAAAAAATGTTTGGATTAATAAAATATATTCAATAAATGATTAATCTACAAATTATTTTTATAATATTTAATATTTTTAATTGTTAGTATTCTCATATTAAAGTGGACATACACTAAAAGGTACCCTTAATTTAGTCTTCTGGGACCACAAATATGACCTAAAGGTTTCCAAAAATACGGGAAAGAGGAAACTTTTCATAAGCAGTCACTTTAAAAGGAGTAAAAATTGTGTGTATTCTACGTAGCCCATAAAAAGAAATATAAATAATAGAATGATAAATGTTTGTTAATAAAATACATATGCCTTCAGAAACATTTCTTTCATTAATTGATATTTTGAAAGATTCTGAGGTTAAATCTGAGGGAAAGAAATTTCAGCATAAATATTAGGCGACATTGCTAGATGAACCATACAAAAGAAAGTACATTCAAACATTTTCTAGGTGTTTGAAGGTGTTTTGTTGGGTTTTCTAATCCCTCTGATCTCTTTTTCCAGTTTAAATTTTTAAAAGCTGACAGAATTATCACTAACACTTCTCATCGAAGAAACAGCACACAATTGAATGAAGAAAAATTTGATTTCTCAAATGTTCACAAAGTTTTTCAAACCAAAATTTTACTTAATGTGCATATTAATCTTATTATTGGCAGCAGCTGATAATCATCAATCTGTAGATGTGATCATACATCTGAAGAAGTTTCTTGAACAGGTTGTTTTTAATACAGTCTGGCAAATTGTATTACCATTTGTACCAACAATTTTCAGTGATATAAAGATCAACCCCAGATCTGTTTCTACCAGAGGGTTTGTACTTTGTAATATACATAAAAGTTCTAAGATTTTCTAGTTTCCATCTTATTTGAAATCTTTACTATTTATTTATTCCCTTTATATGTATCTAATTTACTATGAAAACGGTCTTTTCTTTGAAATTCATTTATTTTCTCAGGTTAATCTCTTGGCTTTTGGATTTATCATATACAAAGTTTTTCGTCACACTGCAGGGTTGAAACCAGAAGTTAGTTGCTATGAGAACATAAGGTAAATGTCTCTTAAACTCTATTTCTTTAGTAGTTAAAAGATTGAGTACCTTAAGGCACAAATAACTCTTGGAAAGGCTTTTTTTTTTATTTTTTTATAACTTTCTTCTGCCATATTAAAAAAAACTTATTGTCAAATAGCATTTTAAATATGTTTAATAAGACTATAATCACCACAGATTAAATGGTAAGTAAAGCCATCTTTTCTAACATAATCCCCTTTGAAAGAAAAGATGATGGCTGTGTTTTAAGGCAAAAATTGGCCTTAGCGATTTTCTTTGGAAAACATTCCTCAGAGCTTAGTAACTGTGTTTCTTTCTTGTGACTCCTAGTTTGCATGCTGCCATGATTTTTCCTTCAACCCTCTCTTTAAAACTGATTTATTGAGACCTCGAAAATGGTTTGTTCAGGAAAAACTGAAGTGTACTATAGGGAACATTAGAAACGACTAACGTTTGTGTTGCTTGGAAACACTCCTGTAGTTTCAATACCTTACACAAGATTTATAGTTAGGATTTAGCAAACGTTTGATCGATTACTTTCTTTTACTCCTCACCATTCATAGCTTCATGTAGTGTGCTGGTTTTAATAAAGTTGAAAATGACTCATTTTCTGAGGTATACTGCTAAAACATCTTCTGCAGGAGAGAATGATTGGACAAAGAATGAATAAGAAAATAATCATTAGTTGCCTCATTTTCAAAGCAATGTCCTCAGTGAGCAGGATTGAATGTTGCTTTACCAGAAGTCATAGGCAGTAAGTTGAAAATATGTAAGAGTATATGCATGTATTTTTTTTTAATTTTTAAGAAAGCGGTATTCTGACATGAATTTATTTTGAGGCAACTGTATTGTAACAGCAGAAAAAAGAATCTAGTTTTATATTTTATGCTTTCTTCTTTACTAAACCTGAAAGGAAAGCAGAACCTTCCTTTGATGTCATGCACATGTACTCACCCAAGTCCACCCGGTATACTTTGCAAGGTTTCTTAGGGAAAATGCTCCCTAACAGATAGATGTCTTACCTTCAGGAATTATTACAACATTCGATTTGAAATCAAAGCACATACACTGCAGTATACTAGGTAAAAATATTTTAAGATTAAGGGAATTCCAGGACGCTTGGGTGGCTCTGTTGGTTAAGTGGCCAGCTTCAGCTCAGGTCATGATCTCACAGTTCTTGAGTTCGAGCCCTGCCTCGGGCTCTGTGCTGACAGCTCAGAGCCTGGAGCCTGCTACACATTTTGTGTCTTCTTCTCTCTCTGCCCCTCCCCTTCTCTTTCTCTCTCTCTCTCTAAAATAAGTAAACTTTAAAAATTTTTTTTTAAAGATTAAGGAAATTCCTTGAAAAATACCCTATTTTAATAGCGTTGCCTTCATTTTGGAAGTGCATCCCTGTCATGGTGCAGTAACATACCCTAAAGGCTGTCCCACGTAACTAGCATGATGTATCAGTTTCAAAATCCTTATTGGTCTTTGCAGAAGATTTCTTAATTGTACCAAAAAGCCATTTCCCACATAATTTGAGGAGTTTAGGGATGTGTTGAGTCTATGTCATTTTCTTAACTGAAACATTTCAAATGTGTTACAGGTCTTGTGCCAGAGGAGCCCTTGCTCTCCTGTTCCTTCTCGGCACCACCTGGATCTTTGGGGTTCTCCATGTCGTGCACGCATCAGTGGTAACAGCTTACCTCTTCACTGTCAGCAATGCTTTCCAGGGGATGTTCATCTTCTTATTCCTGTGTGTCTTATCTAGAAAAGTAAGCAGTTTCTTTTATTATAACTGCGGTCAACCCTATAGCATATTCATGTAGCATCGGCTACCAAATTGATAAAAATTCTCATTCTCATGGATTTGTGCTGTCTTTATTGCCTAATGCAGTACATTTTAGTATCAAAATAATTGGAACATCTATCTGTTCGTATGGAAATATGCTTTAAAAAAAACTTGCTCTTAGGAATGTAAACATAGCTTATATTAATTTAAGCATATTCTGACAGATAATGAGAAAATCATACTTTAGAAAACGAAATATAACAATTTAATGTGATTTGAAAATAATTTGATGTGACCATTGCAATTATGTTTAACATTTCTTTTTTTTCTTCTTTTTAGATCCAAGAAGAATATTATAGATTGTTCAAAAATGTCCCTTGTTGCTTTGGATGTTTAAGGTAAAAATAGAGAACTGTGGATAATTTTTGCTCTACATAAGAAAACCAAGCTGTGGATGGCCAATGTATAAAAATGACTTGAATCAATGATCTAATTATTAATTACTAGATAAGTATTTTAAATCCATTTTTCTGTTTACAGTGTAGAAACTGTAGATAAGATACCATAATTATGTACCATATAGCTATAGTTTGCTTTCCCACATGACATAGTTAGTTATGTCAAAATAGTATTGCAAATATTTGAAAAGTAATTGGTTTCTCAGGAGTGATATCACTGCGCCCAAGGAAAGACTTTCTTTCTAACACAAGAAATATATGAATGTCCTGAAGGAAACCACTGGATTGATATTTTTGTGACTCATGTTGCCTTTGAAACTAGTCCCCTATCACCTTAGTAATGAGCTCTGTTACAGAAAGTGGAATATGAGAGAATGAAGGGGCAGAATGTAAAGCAGTAAAAAGGAAATGGCTATTATAACAATGAGATGTATTTTGAGTAAACTTGTTTTTTTGTAAACTAAATGAGAAATTATAGCTGAAATAATTGAATAAACACTTCTTACCATTGCATGAATTTTTCTGAACTTAAATTTATACTAAAACAACTTAGACCTTTTCTATATTTATTTTCTTTCCTAATATTCGAAAAAACCCCACAAAACTTTACAAATGAAAAGGCAGGCAATTATGTTCTGGTTTTGGGGTTAACATCATAAGGAGGTATGTGCTGTTTCCATACTAATTTCATAGATTATAACTTCAAATCTTTAATCAGAAATACATAAATGTGTCAAACTATAATATTTTTCATGGCTGTAAATGTAAAAATAGTGTATATAAAAATTGAAGTATTCTCTTCTATAACCTTTCAGTGTAGTGAATAATATTGGATCTCATTAGGCTAGTATATTTGAGTTCTTTATTTCTTTTAATTTTGGAAATATTATAGTTCACATGACAATATTCCCTTTTAACTTACTATTTTTAAAAGGGCATTGTAAATATGAAAGTATTCAGAAAGTGAATTGCCATTTTTTTCTGTTCAGAAAAGTACACATTTAAAAATGTTATTTATAACAAAGGAATCACTGAGAACTGTAGAAATGTTCACAGTGGATATATTTTCTGACAGTTTTCTACTATCTATTAAAGCATATCTGCTTAAATGTATGGTTTCTATCTATCCTCAAATCTTCTCATTAAAATGTGGAAGCAGGGATTTTATTTCAAAAATATGTAATTGTCTGCACCTGCCTGTAGAAGTATGCCAACACACTAAATGTTGTGATTTTAATTTCTCCAGCTTTTAAAATGAAGTCTGTCAAAACTTGCTCTAACAAATAAAATGTTATCTAAATGAATACAGCTACTGTTTGCTGAGTCATTTTCTCAAGAAAGATGAGCTACCTGCCAATATGTCCCTACACATTTTTAGAGAATCCATGATAAATGTTCATTATATCTTCTGATCTCTTATATGCTAAGCCTGTGACCTATTATTACCATTGTTATTATAGAACAGGGTTATAAGCATGTTGTATTGAAAAACTAATCTGTTCAATCAATACATACGAATGATGTATGGCAGGCAGAATAATAGCTCTCCCAATACTCTCACACCCTAATCTTCAGAATCTGTGGCCACTATGTTAGGTTACATGGAGAGAAGAATTAAGATCGCTAATCAGCTGACCTTGACATGGGGACATCGTCCTGGATTATCTAGGTGGGCCCAATGTCACCACAAGCCTCCTTGTGAATGAGAAAGGGAGAAAGGAGAGCATGAGAGAGTGACACAGCCCGAGATGGTTTGACCAGCCGTTGCTGGCTTTGAAGACTTCTGAAGTCTACAAATGAAGGAAACTTCACAGCCTCTAGAAGCTGAAAAAGACAAGGAAACAGATTCTTCCCTAGAGCCTCTAAAAGGAAGTAGATGTGCTGATACCTTTATTTTAGCCCAGGCTGACCTATTTTGGACTTCTAACCTCCAGAACTGTAAGATAATAAATGTATATTGTTTTAAGCCACCAAGTTTGTTGAAAATTTGTCGCAAGTTTATTGATAATTTTTGATAATTTGTTATAGCTACCATAGGGAATATTATGGAAATATGTATAGCATCTTTAGAGATAACCAACTATTCATATCATTAGGACAAACCTTGATTCTAGTGTCTTGATTTTATCAACCCTCCCTTAGATATCATTGGATAAAGCTTGTGTTCTTTAGCATACTGTTCAAACCTCCTTAGGAGCCTCCTGGGTGGCTTCTGAAACAGCCCCCATATGTGGAGGACAGGGTGAGACCGAAGACAGAGGCAGGCCACTCCAGATTGATAGAAGGCAAGTTCAATAAGCAAGAAAACTTGTCTTATGGGATTTGTCTTAGGTTGCCACAAATAAGTAGATCTTTACACCCACCCATCAAATCTTAAAAGTTTATATAGAGTGGCGCCTGGGTGGCTCAGTCGGTTAAGCGGCCGACTTCGGCTCAGGTCATGATCTCGCGGTCTGTGAGTTCGAGCCCCGCGTCTGGCTCTGTGCTGACAGCTCAGAGCCTGGAGCCTGTTTCAGATTCTGTGTCTCTCTCTCTCTGACCCTCCCCTATTCATGCTCTGTCTCTGTCTCAAAAATAAATAAACATTAAAAAAAAAAAGTTAAAAAAAGTTTATATAGAGACCGTCACATATACCATCCAGATGGTCTCAATGCCACATTCCAATCTCAAGACTGCATTGTTGGGGCATCTTCTTGGAGCATTGAAGACAAGCAGGATGTACATTCTAAGGACAGTGAAGGGGTGAGGAGCCTCCAAGTGCCCATGTCCAGCTTGCAGGTCAACCACATGTCAAGTCTTCTTGATGTCCTCCTCCAACAATAAGATTTCAGACCTTTCAGTTTTTACTTTTTTCCCTCTGAAAATTTCTTTAGTCACACCAAACTGTTTCTTTGTCCCAAAACTTACCATGGGTTACCAAATTCCCAATTCCTAGAATTTCCTCCTTGTGAACATCATTACTCTGACAAACAGTATTTATCCCTAATGTATCTTTACATGTATCTTGAATGTATCTTCTCTATGAAGCCTTCCTGGATTCATGCGAGGAATTAATCACTTCCACTTTTGTGTCAGCACTTTCTCTAGTACTTATCCTATTTTAATATTCATTACATTGTATTACAATTGTTTAGGCCAAACTCAGGACATTCATTGTGCCTACTTTTGTTCTTCATTGAGGACAAGAACCTTTTCTCCTTTTTGCTTCATGAATCAGTGTTACTGCCCTCTGCTGCCTTGTGATCATATGACTAAGAGAGTCTGGACCCTCTGAATAGTCTGGCCTTTTGCTCTAGGTATTCCACACTGGAAGCCCATTCAGCGAACTGGCTTTCTCAGGTAAAGCCCTCGATGCTTGTCTCTGTTAGAGTGTTCAGGGGAAGATATGGCCCAGCAATCTCAAATTGGTGAGGTACAGCAGGCAGAAGGATTAGGCTACCAGTGTAGACGTGAGCTCAGAATATGGCTTTACCTCAGTTTTTCCAGGAAAGATCTTCTTTGGGGATTTGTAAGGAGCTTGCCAAACTGCTAATAAAGTAGTGATTTATTTTCCATTTGGCTGTTATTCCTCATGTAACACTCACTTCCTTGTTTGATGGTGAGTGAGGTAAATATTAGGATTTTAGATTCAATTTCCTCAACCTCTAAAACGCATCACAAGTTTTGTCATATTAATTTACAAACTCTTCTTTACTTGATAAATATACGGGGATGAGACAAGATTATAGGATTCAGTCAAAGAATTTGATACTTTAAGGTTGGCTTCAAACAATGAGAAGAATGGACACCAAAGAAGTATAAGATAAATTCCCCATGAAAATTTGCTATTAACTGGATATAATAATGTCCCAATTGTAAAAAAAAAAAAAAAAAAATATGTTGCTTGACTGATTACACTGTATATAAATATATTTACACACAATAGAAATATATTTATATAAATGTATCTATACACAATATAACAATTAGGAAAAGTGTTTTAAAAAAAATCTATCAGCAAGTACTCCACAATCTGCACGCTAGACATAACCAACAAAGAGTACTTAATAATTTGATAACATCATCTCTTTAGTCCCTTTCAATTCAATGCCACTTCCCTAAAGTTAGACAATAACTCTGCATTACCAACATCATTCTCTAATTTCTCCAACATGAAATCTTTGAAGAAAACACAAATTATGGTTCCAGAAAGAGTACCCTTGTTCAGGTTTTTACTTTACCTGGAATGTCTACTCCCATGAGAATTCCACACGTCATTCAAAATTTCCCTCCACGAAGCCTCTCTGATCAATTTGGTCCTTGTCGATTTCCCCAATCTACTACAGCTATACCACATAGAGAGTGTACAAGATAACCTAATACTTGATAGGAGTCATTGTGAAATTGTCATGCAGCGTTCAAACTTAAAACTTCTAGGTTTTAAAAGACAGCTAGGAGAGAAATCACTTAGAAAAGGCATTTAAAGGAGGAAAAAATTATTTCTCCCCAAAGCTTGCTACAGTTTTCAATTATTGCATTGCATGATCTCATTTAATTTTCACAGTAACATACGCAATTCTATCTTCATTTTTCAATGTGAACAGTACTTGATTTCACAGAGCTGGGAACTTGCAAAGTTAATGTTCAAACTGAAAGCCCAGCTCGTTCTGCTCCCTCGTGTGAACTCAGGAACTTGCTCATATTCTTGGATAGGAAGGTCCACCATTCCATGGCCATAAACTCATATAGTATGAGGACTGTATTCCTGTTTATAATTATGTTCTCTTGGGTGATGACATGCTTTTTTAACATGGCATTTTGATATGTCTTTTCTATATGCATGTGCAATTTGAAATGCACACAGCACACGTTTTAAGGTGAAATGTTTTTCTTCTTTTCTCTTTGTTTGATTGCCACTTCCTTGCACATTTATTTCTATCTCTCATCCCCACTCACACCCTCAGC